CACCCCAGGAGTTTGAAAAGTGCCCGTCAAACGCCGGCTCGCTCTTCTCCATCGGCGCCGCCTTTGTCTAATTTTTTTTTTTTTTGTAATTTGTACTTTTGGTGAAAAATAAATGTAGTGAAGTTGAATACTTTAGTTTTATTCTACTCAAGTAAAAGTACCACAATTTAATTATACTCAAGAAAGTAGAAAAAAGTACTCTAACGAAAGTATTTGTAATTAGTTACTTTCCACCTCTAGGTTTGTGTGTGTTTAAACGTGACCCTAAAACATGATTACAGGCCACAGGAAGTGACTTTCATCACAGGAAAACAACCGCAGCCTGAAGCCAACAGAGCCTTTCATTACAGCCCTCAGTCTTTAATTATTCTAACGAGAGACGGATGTAGAAGTTAACAGTCTGAAGTCGAAGGAGAAAAGCGTTTATTAATCACGTTCTGTTCTCTGATTGGTCAGAGGAGGCTGGGCGACGCTGCCAAAAAAGCCATCAGCCAGTTACAAGTGCGGACCATCAGGAAAGGCGATCAGGTGAACAAATAAACATTCAATATGGCAGTCCTTACAGCAGTGGGTTCTGCTGATATAGAGTCCTGCACTCTGTGTTTTGTCTGTATAATGTGTGTGTTTTTTCCTGTAGGAGACGGAGAGTGATTTTGATAACTGTGCCGTGTGTATCGAGGGTTATAAAGCAAATGATGTAGTGAGAATCTTACCTTGCAGGTAAACACACACCTGACTGCACTTTTGATAAGACACTAACAAGATAGCTACATTAAATCTGCTTTTTTTTCAATAGTAAAGCAATATAATACTACATTGTATATCTCATCTAATTGTATTTATATTATTATAGTAGGTTAATTTTTTTAATGTTTTTGAAAGAAGTCTCTTCTGCTCACCAAGACTGCATTTATTTGATTAAAAATACAGAAAAATGCTTTAAAATTGCAAAATATTATTACTATTTAAAACAGCTGTTTTCTGTGTGAATCTCTGTTAAACTGTAATTTATTTCTGTGATCAAAGCTGAATTTTCAGCATCATTACTCCAGTCTTCAGATGATTCTTCAGAAATCATTCTAATATGCTGATTTGCTGCTCAAGAAACATTTCCGATTATTATCAATGTTGAAAACAGTTGCGCTGCGCAATATTTTTGTGGAAACCGTCATACATTTCATTTTTCAGGATTCGTTGATGAATAGAAAGTTCAAAAAACAGCATTTATTTGAAATAGAAATATTTTGTAACATTATAAATGTCTTTACTGTCACTTTTGATCACTTTAATGCATCTTTGATGAATAAATAAATTTTTAATTAAAAAAAATCACTGACCTCAAGCTTTTGAATGGATATAGCATATATACTGTATTATATATATACTATACTATATTTATTTCTATGTTTTCATATAACAAAGTTGCTAAATACTCTCTTATTTGCTACAAAAAGAGGATGTAAGTGGTGTGCAGGTCTTTTTGTATCAATTCATTGAAATTCATTCAGTGTTCAACTGAAAACTCGCAAACATGAGAGGCTGCTGTATTAAAGCCCGTTCACACCAAGGACGATAAAGATATAGTTCTAAAAATCGTTCTCAATATTAAAGAATAGCAGAGTCCACACCACAGCTATAACGATAAAGAGAAACGATATCCAGCTTTTTTCCAGCTGATGAACGATAAAAAATTGACAGCCAATCAGAATCCATCCTGCTATAATGAGCTCGAAAATTTAAAGTGACAGACGATATTGTTCGCTGGTGTGAACGCTAATATCGTTATCTTTATAGTTTTCTTTATAGTTATCGTTCTTGGTGTGAGCGGGGCTTTAGACTGATAAACCCACATCTGTTCCTCCTTCACGGTCTTCACTGTTCGTCTGCTTCTCGCAGGCATCTGTTTCATAAGGGCTGTGTCGACCCGTGGTTGGTGGACCATCGTACGTGTCCCATGTGTAAAATGAACATCCTCAAAGCTCTCGGCCTCACGGTTGGTGTTTTTTCTCTCTCCCTCGTCGCTGTGCAGAGGTCAGGCTCGTGTGTCATGTGCTGTTTGTGCATGTTTTAGTCCTCCTCGAGTGCAGAGAGAAATGAGCTGAACACAAAGCTTCAGACAGAATCAGTGGAATACAAACAGCTGAATAACAGTCTGAATAAATTTACTTTATTATTAATTATAATAATAATGATACTAAATAGTATTTAATTGTTATTAATTACAGTAATGAATTGATACATTAAATTATTTCCAGAGGAATCATTATTTTCATTTTATCCTATTTTATTTCGTTTTTTTTTTTAAAAATACTTTGATTGAATTATTTAGCTTTTGAATGGATATAGCATATATACTGTATTATATATATACTATACTATATTTATTTCTATGTTTTCATATAACAAAGTTGCTAAATACTCTCTTATTTGCTACAAAAAGAGGATGTAAGTGGTGTGCAGGTCTTTTTGTATCAATTCATTGAAATTCATTCAGTGTTCAACTGAAAACTCGCAAACATGAGAGGCTGCTGTATTAAAGCCCGTTCACACCAAGGACGATAAAGATATAGTTCTAAAAATCGTTCTCAATATTAAAGAATAGCAGAGTCCACACCACAGCTATAACGATAAAGAGAAACGATATCCAGCTTTTTTCCAGCTGATGAACGATAAAAAATTGACAGCCAATCAGAATCCATCCTGCTATAATGAGCTAGAAAATTTAAAGTGACAGACGATATTGTTCGCTGGTGTGAACGCTAATATCGTTATCTTTATAGTTTTCTTTATAGTTATCGTTCTTGGTGTGAGCGGGGCTTTAGACTGATAAACCCACATCTGTCCCTCCTTCACGGTCTTCACTGTTCGTCTGCTTTTCGCAGGCATCTGTTTCATAAGGGCTGTGTCGACCCGTGGTTGGTGGACCATCGTACGTGTCCCATGTGTAAAATGAACATCCTCAAAGCTCTCGGCCTCACGGTTGGTGTTTTTTCTCTCTCCCTCGTCGCTGTGCAGAGGTCAGGCTCGTGTGTCATGTGCTGTTTGTGCATGTTTTAGTCCTCCTCGAGTGCAGAGAGAAATGAGCTGAACACGAAGCTTCAGACAGAATCAGTGTAATACAAACAGCTGAATAACAGTCTGAATAAATTTACTTTATTATTAATATTAATAATAATGATACTAAGTATGATTTAATTATTATTAATTACGGTAATGAATTGATACATTAAATTATTTCCAGAGGAATCATTATTTTCATTTTATCGTATTTTATTTAGTTTTTTTTAAACATTAATACTTTTAATTATTTTTTAAATATATTTTCTGTTTTCATTTTAATTTGAAAGTTTTAGTCATTCTGTTGTGTTTTTGTCATTTGTATTAGTATTTTTTAAAAAAAATGTCTGTATAGTGTTTATTAATTTTATTTCATTTTAGTTTCAAATATTTCCATTGGATTCATTTTTTTAATTTCATCTTATTGTATATTTTTATTTATTTCTTAAAACATTGATGTTCGCTAATAACATTGTATTGTGCCATAATGAGTGTAATTTTAGAATCACTGATACTATAAAAGTTTATTTAATATTTTGAAATTTTTATATTTATGGTGTTTACATTTTAATTTGTTAGAGTTTTAGTAATTTTGTTGTGATTTAGAATTTTTTTTTTTATATATCTATCATTTTTTAGTTATGCTAATGCATTGAGTTAGACTAAATGAAAAAAGGATGTCTTGTTTTCATTTTAATTTTAGTTAAAGTGTTAGTACTTTTGTTGTGTTTTTGTCATTTTTGTAGATTTAAGAAAAAGTTTTTATTGAGATAATTAAGTTTAACTAAAGGGAAAAAATTTTGCCTTGCTAACTAGATAAAATAAAACAAGTTTAAGTTTTTTTTTAATTTTTAAGTTAGTTTTTTAAGTTATGAAATTTATTTTATGTAGTTTATTTGAGTAGTAGTTTAATACTTAATTGTAATAATCCTGGCCTTAACCATGGTAGAATCCCTGAAATTCATGGCTTATTGCTTCAGTATGGCTATAGTGTAATTCTATTGTATTTAACTCTATGCTGTGTGACTGTGGTGTAATTCTGTTCACATGCAGTCGAGTGCTGAGTGTCTGAATGAACTTCCCCTGGACTACGAGCTCGCCGTGGGGGGCGTGGCTCTCAACGCCATGGTGATGAGCGATGATGTCATGGCCGGCGATGTCGTGGGGGGGCGTGACCCCGGAGTGAGGATGGTGGGTCTCCCTCAGGTCCTCCTGGACTCTGAGCCACTGTCCCAGGACACCTTGCCAACCGAACAGAGTGAGTGTGCGAACGAGTTCATAAACATTGATTTCTGTGAGAGAGGAAGTCGTCCTCTTCTCTAGTGCAAGGCCTTGTGGGTAATAATTTACATTTTTGCATTTAGAAGATGCTTTTATCAAAAGTGACAAATAATAGTGCACATTTAATAACAGGCCAAAAAAGCATGCACAAATATGCATGTGGCAAAAATGGCAAACCATCCAGATAGTCTTGTGAATAAAGTGTACATTTTAGCATACTTTTAAAAAATAGTATGCACTACAGAAATAATACACTTCAAGCACAAACTGAATGTAATGTTTTGGACATTTAATTGCATGTTAATTGTAATTAAATGAAAATGTATTGTAGTCTAAACATTTATGTAAAATGCAATTAGCTGAACTTTAGAGCACTTCTTTTGACCCACTTAAGTTAGACGCAAGTACATCTTTATATGTAATTTCATAATTACTTATATTGTCTCGAAATATGGTTAAAGTGCACTGCTGAATGAACTGACAAGCATTTATGGGAAACTAAAATATACTTTAATGTCATTTCTGTTAAAACATGCATGTCATGTTTTGATATATAGCAAGAGTTGTTATAGTTAACTAAAACCATAAAAAATGTTTCTTGAAATAAAATAAATGTTAACTGAAATTGTTACTGAACTTATTTTGACTTTTATTTGATCATTTCTCTTTTTCATTGAGTTTAACTTAATGTACTAAAATAACTAAAACTAAAACTGAAATGAAAATATAACAAAAACTATATAGACATATAAAAACAAAAATAAAAATGACAACACAAAAATTACTAAAAAAAAAAAAAAAAACTAATGAAAACTATAATATATATAATTCCTACTAAAATAAATCACATCCATACTAAAATAAGTTGCAATTTAGTACATTTAAAATATATTAACTTTAAATGCAATATCAAATAACACACTACAGTTAAAATTAATATCACATGCATTACATGTGCTTCAGTATGTTAGTCAACACATCAGAATAATTGTACTTCTTTAATAAAGCATGACAAAAATATAAAAATTATTTAAAATGTACTTTAAGTTAAAACTATTTATTTGACATTACAAAGTGTACTTATGAAAATCTTTAGGTTGCCTTTTATTTCATTAATATTATTATATACTTTAAGGTTTACACTACAAGTGCACATTCAGTTAACCATTTTGAAATACGATTTGCAACTTGTTCTTATTTTGCATGCTATTTAGTAAGGACAGCATACAAATTAGGACACAGCCGTACTGATGAATATCTTTATGACTGTCTTTCCTCCGCAGGTGAGTTACAACCAATAGCCAGTGGCAGTTCAGAGATGTCGCTCGCTACGGGGGCGGGGCATTCGGACATTGACACGCCCACCGACGACCCAAAGTGCTGATCTGGCCCCGCCCACTCATGCTCAAATGTTTGGGTGACCGCAGCGACGGGCTCAGACGGGTTGAATGGGCTTTGAATGGCCAGTGATTGAGCATGTAACTGCCTGCCGAGTACATACTACAATCCACGTCCGATGTTACGTTCATTTCATCTTTCTTCTACATTCTCTGAAAAGCAGGGTAAACTCTGTTCTCTCTCGCCCGCAGTGCACACTACAGCTAAAGCACTTGTTCGGTATCGGCAGACGATCGGTTCTGCTTTGCTCGACAATCTTCTCTTTCCTACCGCCGCAGCGTTCGCTGCCCGTTTCACCATTTGTCTGTGATCCCAGCAGAAAGAACGTGTCAAAGACTATTTTGAATCTGATCAGAAGTGGTTTATTTTTCTATAGAGAAGCATTTGATGTGCTTGAGTTCTGCAGTATTTAAAAAAAACAAACAGAGAATCTCAGTATTTAGACGCCGCCGCCTTGGAGATTTTTGGGGATTTGGCCCTCACCAAAGACGCCAGACCTGGAGTGTGTGACGGACGTTGTATGGGACAGAACTGTGGGACTTTCTAGGAAGTGCTCTTTGGATTCTGTGGAGCAGGACATGTGATGTTTGCTGTGCATGCCACATGCCCTGTCCACTTGAGATTTTAGTGGATTTCATTTAAAGGGATAGTTCACCTAAAAATGAATGTTTACTGGCAGTGTCCTCACCCTCAGGCCATCCAAGATTTGAGAAGAAGAACGGATTTGGAGAAATTCCGTCATTTGTTCACAAGTAGATCCTCTGCAGTGAATGGGTGCCGTCAGAATGAGAGTCCAAACAGCTGATTAAAAACATCACAATAATCCACACCACTCCAGTCCATCAGTTAGCATCTTGAGAAGCCAAAAGCTGTGTGTTTGTAAGAAACAAATCCATCATTAAGATGTTTTTAACTTCAAACCGTTGCCTTTGGCTAAAAAACGAGTCCATAATCCATAATAACGCTTCCTCCAGTGAAAAAGTGGTCTGGTCTGAATCAGGAGAGAAATCTGCACAGATCAAGCACTGGTTACAAGCCCAAATAGTCTGAAACAGCTCTAAACAAACATGTTGATTAATTTTTGATGTGAGAGGATAACAAGGGATGGACTTTATTACTGGAGGAAGCGTCATTATGGATATTTTACCAAAGGCAATGGTCTGAAGTTAAACATGCCTTAATGATAGTTTTTAAAAACATGCAGCTTTTGGCTTCACAAGATGTTAACTGATGGACAGGAGTGGTGTGGATTTCTTGTGGATTATTGTGATGTTTTTATCAGCTGTTTGGACTCTCCTTCTGACGGCACCCATTCACCATTCACTGCAGAGGATCCATTGCTGAGACTCAGAGAGAAATCTGATGAAGAAACAAACTCATCTATATCTTGGATGACCTGAGAGTGAGTAAATTTTCAGCAAACTTTTTTTTCCGGTGAACCATTTCTTTAAAAGGAGAGTTCACCCCATAAGTGATTGTTCTGTTACTGTTTATTCACCCACGGGTCTAAATCGCTATTATTCTTTTTTTCTTTTCTTTAAAACTCCAGAAATCACCATAAAAGTAGTTAATATGACTTGTGCACTACATTCAAACAGTTCCAGATGTTTTTGGCAAAACAAAGTTGTGGAAAGACACGAGGGTGAGTAAATGATCGTTTTCAGGTGCACTGTTCCTTTAAATCTGTAACGCGTTCTTCCTTGTTTGACTGTATATTGTAAATAGAGAATAATTTTGTCCAATTTTCTCCTTAATTGCCCAGTTTTTCCATCATGCACTTTATGTATTTAGAGATTGGATTTCGTTTTGAGATTGGGATTTCGGTCACATGTTTGTATACTCGCACACAAAACACACTTGCAGTTCACCTCACCGTATTTCTCTCTCACACACACACACTCAGTAGACATTTGTACCATTTCATGCTCAGTATTTTGCACGTGTTTCAGTCAGACTGTGCTTTGAATATTAATAAATTTTAATGTAAATTTTTTGGGGCTAAACATCATCTCATTTACACAGTGTCACATAATTCCGTCTCATTTAAATATTTGAATGTTTCCTGTCAGTTAAACTAAAAATTCCGACACAGTTGAATAATGAACATTCAAATCTTTATTCTAAACTCAGGATAGTGACAGTTGAAACAGTTCCTGGATTAATGGCAAAAGTAGCATGTTTTTGCTGGATGTGAAGGATGTTTTGATCTGGTGGAGGTTTCAGGCCTGTTCTGCTTTATCTGATGGACAAAGACATTCGACTCTGTTCAGTTCGCATGCACAAATGCAGACAGGATAGATAGTTGCCGTACAAACAAATGACAGCAAACATTTACAGACGAGAAAAACAATGTCACTCACTCTCGTGTTTTCACCGCATGAACGGGTACGAGGAACTGAGAGAGAGAGAGAATGACATGCAGTTTCTATGATGTTTAACATGCTCAAACTTCAGCAGAATTTGTTTATTACACCTTTTAATGCATTTTATACTATATATATATATATATATATATATAGGTAAGTCCTCATAGGTAAGTTGACCAATAAATTTTTTAAAATAGTTTTAGATAGAATTGTTCATTTGTTATTAACTCACCTTTTAGTTTCACTGCGTGCTTCGGCAAATTTGTGTCTGATCATAAAACTTGCCAAAGCATCTGCCACCTCAAAAATGCACAAAAATCAGATATTGCATTAAAACGTGCAACAAGAATAGCAAAATCATCTGTGCATAATTAATGTTTATACAGATGAGTGAGTGAATGTTGAGTGTTCCAAGACTGTTTATTTATTCCAAAAAAAACAGTAAATATTATTGTTTAAAATAACTATTTTCTTTGCGAATATTTAATTTAATTTGTCATTTATTTCTGTGATCAGATCTTCAGTGTCACATGATCTTCAGAAATCATTCTAATATGCTGATTTGCTGCTCAAGAAACATTTTTGATTATTATCAATTTTTATGCTGCCCAATTTTTTTTGTGGAAACTGATATATTTTATTTTTCAGGATTCACAGATGAATAGAAAGTTCAGAAGAGCAGCATTTATTTCAAATAGAAATCTTGGTATCTTTATAAAAGTCTTTACTGTCACTTTTGATCAATTTAATGTATCTGTATAAAAGTATCAATTTCTTAGAAGAAAATCAGTGATCACAAGCTTTTGAATAGAAATGTGGATATGATATATACTCTTACTTTATCTGGGATGTCCTCATGCACTGCGTGTCCACAAGGGGGCAGCACCTGCATCATGAATTTACCTACAGAAGCCATAGAAAACATTAAATAGAGAATATTAGCATGCTAGCACATTACTATTACCATCATTATTCAGGTGAAAACGCTGTTGGTCACGTTGCTTTTCTCAGCGCTGGTCGACCAATCACAGTCATTTGAGATTGTTAGGCATCTTCGAAATCATTTATATAGATTGCTAGGGCAGATTTCAATGTTTGTTATTGTGCAGCTCAATGCATGATTGCTGTCATAGGATACAGTTATTGATCAGACTCACCCTGCATCTGTCCAATGGTCAGGTCTCTGTCCAGTCGATCAATGCCTGAACACAGGACACGTTTCACATTAAACTGACAGAACTGAGCAATTTTGTTGCATAAATGATTCCCTTTAGCCATTCAGATCAGCATCATTTGTTTGATTATATGTTGCATTGTTTAGAATGTTCCTTAAAAGGAGGATTACTGTTATGTCTGTTTCATGTGTTTCAGAGGAGTGCTTTGATTGGTACGTGTCTCTTGCCTGCCAGCAGTAGGAGTTTTGGGACGTTGCAGGACAGAAAGAGGTTCGATATCCCTCTGAACCAGCCATCCCAGTATTTCTCTGCTTTAGACAGGTCGATTCTCCAGCTGTACACACTGCACGGCTGAAGCACACATGCACATCGATTACGCTCGGTTGTTTGTCATGCACTGTTTGTTCAGTTGCACACGGAGGGGTCAAAGGTTAATAAATGTTAAATATGGGTGTATGTGACCAATAGCAGGATTTCAGTTGTTATGGAAGCCAGTTTCGCCACATAAGAAACAAGTCATGCTTTAGTAGATCGTAATTATGAGATCAGTCAAAATTGGGAATCAGATTTATGAGATAAAAAGGTCATAATTATGATATAAAACTAAAAACTGCATACCAAGTCATAATGATGAGAAGTTGAAACTGATTTACCAAGTAGTAATTATGACATTAAAAAGTCAAAATTATAAATTGTCATTGACGAAAATAGACATAGTATGTCATACTTGACTTTTTATCTCAAAATTATAAGTCATTAAAGTCAAAATTATTTAATTATGAGAGTCAAAATTGGGATGACAAATTATAAAGATGAAAGTCTAAAAATTATGAGATTAAAAACAAAATTGACAAAAAAAATCTAAATAATAAGTGTAAACAGTCATAATTATGAGATAAAAAGTCTAAAATTATGAAGCTGAAATTGAGAGAAATCGAAATTATGAATTAAAAAATTAGCATTGACAAAAAATAAATGGAGTGTAAACAGTCATAATTAAGAAAGTCAAAATTATGACATACTAAGTTGTAGTTATGAGATAGTGAAATGGACAAAAAATCTAAATTAGGAGGTTTAAAAAAACTAAATTGAGTAAACAGTCATAATTTTGAGATAAAAAGTTGAAATTATGACATGAAGTTGAAATTGAGATCAATCAAAATTATGATATTAAAAATTGAAGTTAACAAAAAAAGTTTAAACAGTCATAACTGAGAAAGTAACAATTATGACAGTCATAATTAAGAAAGTCAAAATTATGACATACTAAGTTGTAATTATGAGATAGTGAAATGGACAAAAAAAATCTAAATTATGAGGTTTAAAAAACTAAATTAAGGCTAAATTATGACATACTAAGGCATAAATATGAGACAAAAAAATTATGTTATGAGAATGAGGATTATGCCACTTTGTCAACTGGCATGATGTTTTTTCTAATCTGGCAGAAATGGGCTTCCATACATCTGCCTTCAATAATGTGTGGTAGTGTATATATAAGGCAACTAACTTAATTCAAAGACATAAAAAAAAAAAAATCATAATGAACCTCATATTTATTTTCTTTCTTTGCTCTGAAAGTTAAAATTGATAAAAAAAATATATATATATATGGAAAATATTTATGAAAACTATGACATAGTAATATTATGAGATAAAGTCGAAATTGACATAGTAAGTTATAATTATGATAAAACTATGTAATTATGAAAAATTTGAAATCTAACATAAGTCATAAGTTTGAAAAGCTGAAATTGACATACTAAAAGTCATAATTGCAAGATAAAAGGTTGAGATTATAACACATGAAGTTGAAATTATGAGACAAGTCAAAATTGACACACTAAGCCATAATTATGAGATAAAATATAAATATGACATACAATTTAAACTTGGCATGCTAAGTGATATTATGAGATAAAAAGTTGAAATTATGACATACTAAATCGTAATTGTGAGAAGTCATAATTATAAGATAAAAAGTTGAGATTATAACACATGAAGTTGAAATTATGAGATAAAAGTGAAAACTGACATACTCATAAATATGAGATACAAAAATTGAAATTATGAGATAAAAGTCATAATTCAGAGGCTTGGCGGAGATGTGATTTTGTCATGTTCTTGTTGGGGCTTCAACAAGTCATTTCTCTCTGTTTTAGGGTTAGTTAGTAGGTTTATGATTTAGCTGTTTACCCGGCAGGAATGTTGTTCCAGATCAACAAGAGAAGTTGAAACAAGAGCTAGTCTTACTCTGCAAAATAGCTGTCACTTTTAAAAGAAAGTGAATGTATTTTGTGATAAAATCCCTTTTTTTTTTCTTTCCCGCTGGATAAAAGCAGGACTGAAGAGAACCTGCACTAAATTGTAGAAATAATATATATGTATTTTATTTAAGTAAACTACATATATATTATTTAAGTATTTGGCAGAAACTAAGATATTGTAACGGCAGTAGTAGAAACAGTAGTGCTAAAGCTTGAATTAATGTTTTCTTAAAAAAAAAAAAAAAAATTAAAAATCAAGATTCATTATTCATATTATTTTAGTTTATATATTGTTTAATATTTAAATGTAATATTATTCTTTTTATATAAATGTATACATTTTTTATTATTACTGTTGTTACTATTAGTAGAATTGGTAGTAGTAGCAATATTATATACCTTTGTAATAAGCATTTTAAAATGTAAAAAAAAAAATGTGACTGATGCTGGTTTATGACAGATGACGCAGTGTTTCTCACCCTCCACCACGTCGATGGCCACCAGCCCGACCACAGAGGGCAGCAGGGCACCACCCGCCGCGTGCACCGCGATGGCTCCGCCCACATTGTGACCCACCAGGATGATGGGGGGCGGGATCTCGCCGTACGTCGCTCGCACCACATTGGCTACGTCTCTGTGAGCACAGGAGGTGATTGGTCAGCTCTATTATGCTGGAAATTCAGCTGCGCATCACAGAAATAAATTACAGTTTAACAGATATTCACATAGAAAACAGCTCATTTAAATTGTAATAATATTTCACAGTTTTACTGTTTTTACTGTATTTCTAATCAAGTAAATGCAGCCCTGGTGAGCAGAAGAGACTTAATTCAAAGACATTTAAAAAAAAAAATCATAATGAACCTCATATTTATTTTCTTTCTTTGCTCTGAAAGTTAAAATTGATAAAAAAAAAATATATATATGGAAAATATTTATGAAAACTATGACAGTAATATTATGAGATAAAGTCGAAATTGACATAGTAAGTTATAATTATGATAAAATGCTGTAATTATGAAAAAATTGAATCTAACATAAGTCATAAGTTTGAAAAGCTGAAATTGACATACTAACTTATAATTGAGATAAAAAGTCATAATTGCAAGATAAAAGGTTGAGATTATAACACATGAAGTTGAAATTATGAGACGAGTCAAAATTGACACACTAAGTCATAATTATGAGATAAAATATAAATATGACATAAAATTGAAACTTGGCATGCTAAGTGATATTATGAGATAAAAAGTTGAAATTATGACATACTAAATCGTAATTGTGAGATAAGAAGTCGTAATCATAAAATAAAAAGTTGAGATTATAACACATGAAGTTGAAATTATGAGATAAAAGTGAAAACTGACATCCTCATAATTATGAGATTTTAAAAAATTGAAATTATGAGATAAAAGTCATAATTCAGTGTGTGTGTGTGTGTTTTACCTGGACATGGTTTGCGTGGAAAGGTCATCGGCGTGCCGGACTTGAGTTACGCCTGTTTGTGATTGTACTAGTCAGATCAGTGCACACGGGTAACTTACAGGTTAACCATTGAACTAAAGCTAGACGTTTGAGCTCACCGTGACCCCTGAGATCCATGGCCAAAACCCGACAAGTGACCCGACTGGCCATCGCTGCCTGTTCAGGAGAAACTCATAACTCATCATCAGACATAAATCTAATATTTGAATCGAATTGAAATTGAAGCCTTTATATATATAATGCATTAAAGTGTTTTTAATGCATTAATCTCATTATGGTCGGTATGATCTCATTAATAATTCTAACCACAGTTATAATGCATTATAACACTATAATTAGTTACACCTTGAGAAAATATAATGTATGAAAACAACCAATTTCTATTGGCATGGTTTAGAAAATGTAATTGTGATTTTTTTTTTTTGTTATACACACAATTCTGATCATTTTTCTCAGAATTGCAAGTTTATTTCTCACAATTCTGACTTTGGATTCATTTTGATATATTTCAAGATTTTAAAAAGTCATAACTTTTATCTCATGGAGGAAAAAAGCTACATTTCAGATGTAACCAAGATTTTGCAAATATTTTAATGCAATATACAATTACTTCTAAAAAATATATAATGCGTTACAATACATGTTAAGAATACTTTTATAATGCATTGTAGATAAAGGCTTCAAGTAAATGTTACCAAACATTTTAGTTTGGTCTTAAAATTAATGTTAACTGTAAAAAAAAACTAAAAAAAACAACAACAAGAACAACAAAAAACATACATTTTCTTTGAGCTGGTTTCCAAAGCAACATTTCTTGGTATACTAAAATAACTAAAACTGAAATAAGAATTAATAAAAACTGTAGACCAAAAAGTAGGGGGAGGGGGGAGAGAGTAACTAATACAAATATATAACTAATAAAAAAATATATATTAAAAAAAACAATAAAAATGTCGAAAATAAACAACAAAATTACTAATAGGTTACAATTTAAAATGGTTTACGTAGGTTTATGATTTAGCTGTTTACCCGGCAGGAATGTTGTTCCAGATCAACAAGAGAAGTTGAAACCAGAGCTAGTCTTACTCTGCAAAATAACCGTCACTTTTAAAAGAAAGTGAATGTATTTTGTGATAAAATCCCTAGAGTAATCTCTCTTAGTGCTCACGCCGTGACTGAAACACAGAGACAGAGACGCAGAGCTGCCAGTGAAGTTCCAGTCTGAGATCACATTCAGCTTTCAAAGCAGCCTTTTGATTCTGAGTCTCAATGCATCATAACTCAAATCTTTTAGTGCGTGCCACTTTCACTTAGAAAATGCGTGCACATTTGGCAAATAATTACAAAGAAATGTTACACACCGAATTAAAAGTGAAATGTTGATGTAGAAATGCTGAAATAGTGTTTTCTTGTACTCCAATAACTTCAAAACTACATTTTTACATAAACAATTTTATATACTGTTTACCATATTTAATTGGGAATTTGTTAAACTACTGTTCAAAAGAGTTTTTTTTTTTTTAAAGAAATGAATACTTTTATTCAGCAATAATGCATTAAATTGCTCAAAAATGAAAGTACAGACATGTATACTGTTACAAAAGAGTTCTATTTCAAATAAATACTGTTCTTTGGCTTTTTATTCATCAAAAAAAATATTGGAAAAAAAATGTATCATGGTTTACACAGAAATATTAAGCAGACACTTTAGACATTAAAGACTGGAGTAATAACTTTACCATCACAACTGTTTCCAACAGTGATAATAATCAGAAATGTTTCTCGAGCAGCAGATCAGAATATTAGAATAATTTCTGAAGGATCATGTGACGCTGAAGACTGGAGTAATGATGCTGAAAATTCAGCTGCGCATCACAGAAATAAATTACAGTTTAATATGTACTCACATAGAAAACAGCTGTTTGAAATTGTAATAATATTTCATAATTTTTACTTTATTTTTGACCAAATAAATGCAGCCTTGGTGAACAAAAAAAGACTCGGTAACATTTTGAACAGTAGTGTAAGTCTAGCATCACTATTATTGAAGTATAAAGTATCAAACTTCAGAGTGTAACTCATCCTGCACTGTTATTGTTCCAGTTATGAATGATTCCTCAAATAATTGTTTTCTGTTACTTGTTTAGGCATTTGAGCTTACAACGCTAGTAAATGTATCAAGCAACTGTTTCTCCAATCTGAAGCTTTAATCAACAAGAAATGATTCGGGTTGCTTTTGCTGCCTTTGTTTGATTTTAAATTAGTTTTTGAGTTCATTTAGGGGTTTTTAAGCATTTGAGCACAAGCAAAACCTCAGGTCTAAGCTGGTTATTTATCTTTAGTTACAGAGTCAGAAGAAAAGTAAGACTGCATGTACTTAAAGCCAGATCAATTATTTAATGCTCATGGGGTTTTCCAGCTCAGTTGTTTCACTGAAGAATCAGCTTTGTCTCAGATGTTTCTCTGAGAGGGAAGTAATGCATTAGGAGAAATAATCAAACACACATGAGTCAGTAGTAGTTAGAGTATAGAGCTATAAAATAAAATGAACGTGGAGAGTCTGATGAGAAATATCGGAGACATCGGTGAGATTTCTAGGCTCTTTATTCTCAAAATAAAAACAACTTGAGATTTGATCTCTTTTATGACTTCAGCAATTACTGCTAAAATCATCAATAAACTATGTAAGTGACATTTAAGATTAAAATTTTACTTTACCTTCAAATTAAATTTTACGTTTAAAATACGTCTTTTAATCGCTATATATTTTTTTACATAATTTCCTAACAAATATCAGTAACACTTTACAAAAAGGCCCAATAAAAGTTAATGCATTACCTAAAATTAACTAACAATGCCCAGTTCGTTTGTTACAGTATTTATTCATCTTTGTTAACGTTAGTTATTAACAATACAGCAGTTCATTGTCAGTTCAGGCCAATTAAATAATATTAACAAATATAATCAAATCTCTTTTTGAAAATGTTTTACATTTAAAAAGCAATTTTGCAATTACTTTCTTTTCAAAACAGGTTTGTGACTCTGGAGCACAAAAGCAGTGTTAAGTCCCAGATTTTCAAATAGTTGTATCTCGACCAAATATTGTCCTATCCTAACAAACCACACATCAATGGAAAGCTTGTTTATTCAGATTCCAGATGATGTATTAATCTCAATTTCTAAAAATGGACCCTTATGACTGGTTTTGTGCTCCAGGGTCACATTTTATAGTGATATTTTGTCATCTAGTTCTTTATTCCTGGTTCTGGAGAGCCTCTTTCCTCCAGAGTCTAATTAAAAGCATCTGAATCTACTAGTTAAGGGTTTACTTGTTAATTACAGACAGGTGTGTTGGATCTAAACTCTGCAGGAAGGTTTGTAAGTGTGAATGTTGTAAATGTCCATTGGATGTTCAGAGTTGTTGTGTGTGAAATGAAAGGGGTCTTACTTCTCTGTGTCGAAGCTCTCCTCCCACATGCTGTTGGCCGCGGCGTCGGTGCCGATGATGCTGGGGTCAGAGCTCAGGTGCGAGGAGCGACTCTCAGCGGACGAGCGCTCGGAGGCCATGAGAGAGACAGACGGACGGACGGACGGACGGAGACTGAACACACGGCCAGACTCACAGAGTTAAAGAGCACTGACGCTCGGCACTCGAACCGACAGCAGACAGATGGAGCGGACAGCTGAGCGCACACACGCAGCTGTTTCTGTGAGGAGACACAGACTGATAGATCAATATATTAAAACTTAATTTTTGATTAGTAATATGCATTGCTAAGAACTTCATTTGGACAAAAGTGAAGTCTCACACAATACACATATCGCTTTATAAAATTACAACTCTTTTTCTCAGACATTTCCTAAAAATAGAAACAAAAATGGGTCAATATTTTCTTACAATAAGCCATTGTGGTCATACAGTAAGAGTATAAAGTTATAAAATGAATGGAAAGCAGCTCAAATCATTGACTTTGATGAGAAACATTTGAGCTAATACTGAGATCTCTGACTTTTGATGCAGACTTTGGCATTGAGATATTGAGATATGCAGGAGTTTCTATTTGCTCTGCATTTAGTCATTTAAACAGCTAGGAGAAATGTACATAGCAGATATGTGACCCTGGAGCACAAAAGCTGTCATGGCACAGATATATTTGTAGCAATAGCCAACAATACATAGTATGGGTCAAAATTACCGATTTTTCTTTTATGCCAAAAATCATTAGGATATTAAGTAAAGATCATGTTCCATGAAGATATTTTGTAAATTTCATACCGTAAATATATCAAAACTTAATTTTTGATTAGTAATATGCATTGCTAAGAACTTCATTTGGACAACTTTAAAGGCCATTTTCTCAATATTTTGCACCCTCAGATTCCAGATTTTCAAATAGTTGTATCTCAGCCAAATATTGTCCTATCATAACAAACCATACATCAATGGAAAGCGTATTTATTCCGCTTTCAGATGATGTATAAATCTCAATTTCGAAAAAATGACCCTTATGACTGGTTTTGTGCTCCATATTGATGTTAAATTGTAAATGTGAATGTGATTAGAACATGTATGTGTTTTATAAGGATTTTAAAACATATTCTAGTCTATTGAAATTAGATATGTAACGTTATTTATTAAATAAATAAAGGATTTTAAACTTCCGTTTACAAAATTAAATCCAGTCTATAGCGCTAAGTAATAAAATGCAGATACATTGATGTTTGAATAGAGATGCAATTGCTTTCTGGCGATTTCCCAGCTGAAAGCAAAGAAACGTGGCGGTGTAACGCTCACATCTCTACAATGCCAGTTGATGTTTTGGAAAAATGAGATGCACATCAAACTAAATCGATACGTGAGCTGTATTCCGTGCGTGCGTGCGTGCGTCATCCTCTGCAGAATTGAGCGTCGTCTCGTCATTTATTCAAGCGTGAGAGGGAACACACTTCACAGCTACAGCATCCGCAAACTGAAGCTCATTCAGAGCAGCACAGCGTCTTGGCAATGTCTGGGTTCGGAATGGGAGGCATTAAATAGTGAGTATGTTTGTGCGTTAAATTTATTAAGAACTCGTTTGTGTAGTTCGTTAATAACGGATAGTGTTTACTTGTGTTGTGTGTAGTTAAGGGCGTCGCATGTAAATTAGAATCTTTGTAAATGTGAATGTGATTAGAACATGTATGTGTTTTATAAGGATTTTAAAACATATTCTAGTCTATTGAAATTAGATATGTAACGTTATTTATTAAATAAATAAAGGATTTTAAACTTCCGTTTACAAAATTAAATCCAGTCTATAGCGCTAAGTAATAAAATGCAGATACATTGATGTTTGAATAGAGATGCAATTGCTTTCTGGCGATTTCCCAGCTGAAAGCAAAGAAACGTGGCGGTGTAACGCTCACATCTCTACAATGCCAGTTGATGTTTTGGAAAAATGAGATGCACATCAAACTAAATCGATACGTGAGCTGTATTCCGTGCGTGCGTGCGTGCGTGCGTCATCCTCTGCAGAACTGAGCGTCGTCTCGTCATTTATTCAAGCGTGAGAGGGAACACACTTCACAGCTACAGCATCCGCAAACTGAAGCTCATTCAGAGCAGCACAGCGTCTTGGCAATGTCTGGGTTCGGAATGGGAGGCATTAAATAGTGAGTATGTTTGTGCGTTAAATTTATTAAGAACTCGTTTGTGTAGTTCGTTAATAACGGATAGTGTTTACTTGTGTTGTGTGTAGTTAAGGGCGTCGCATGTAAGTTAGAATCTCTGCCCCTCCTTTGAAGAAGTACACGCGGGAAACTTGTTAGAACAAATTAGAACCGAATTAAATGTTACATTATATTAATGTAAACGGAGAATTAAAACCGAAATACTGAACTAAAATATAGAGAAGAATAAGAGATTTTTTTATCAACAGCTGCAGCCTAACCTAGTTAGACAGGTCTGTTTTTCAGGGTTTTGGATAGGCTTCTTAAACTGGCCTAAATTAGTTTTTTCTCCTTTCTTTCTTTTTTTCCAGCAGGGAATTTGAGCATTTAAGTTTATTATTATTATTATTATTATTAATTTATTAATTTATGTAGTTTCTTTGGTTCTATTTTCACAAGTGGCACATTTTTAAAAACTGTTTGCACGTAAAACAGCCATCATTCAAAACTTTCTTCCATTAGGGCTGTAAGTGTTGTAAGGGTTCCCTTGCGAAAATTAACCATGGTATTATTATAGTAAAAGTGTAGTAACCTTTTTTGGCGTATTGATTAACATTGGTATAACCAGTTTTACTACAAATACCATGGTTAAACTATGGTTAGTGTAGTAGCAAAACCATGGCTAATTTGTGGTTACCATGATTTAGCTATAGTAACCATGTTTTTTAGTTTAATTGAGATAAAACCATGATTATTTTTTCGTAAGGGTTGGTTTAATCACCACAGTGCAACAGGATTATCTTTTCAGTATGGTAAATGTACAGATCAGTTCAATATGCATGATAAAAGTAGCCTACAGTTGTTACTCTAGGAGTGCATTTACAGTACCTAACTGATCTGACATAAAATCCATAGTTTCCATAATCCTGTCTTTCCAATGTCAATTAAAATGTTTGATCAATGAACACATGACAATGAAAATTCAACACTTGTGAAAATAGCATTAAAGCCAGAAAAAACTGTGTCCTTAAAAAAAATATAAATTATTTGTTTAATAAGGTTTATTATTTTATCAAAATATATTTTTAAATGTGTTGTTGTTTCTACACAGATGTGTCACATCCACAACTAGGACATCACTAAATCAGATTGTGACTATTAGATCCTTCAACTATTATTAGTTTCATGGAATCCCGACCTGCTTTCCTTCATCCCCCTGGAAATAATGAACCCAAGGCATGCTGGGAATCTGAGTCCCAGCACAGAAAGGGAAACCACTCTCCTGGAACCAGGACAAGACTTGGAGAGAATCATGGGATTGAAGTACAAGCTAAAGAGCAGGAGGAGAGATCCACCTCCAGGGAATCCGCCGGCCATGTGAAAACACTAAAACACAATGCATTAGCCACCGCTGCCATTCCAGCCGCAGAACTGCTCCCTGCATCCACAGCTGCATCAAAAATACCCACCATGCACTCAGCGACAACCAAGCAGGTCACTGCGGGAAAAGCCAGTTCAACTGCTACGACTAAAACGGCATCGAAAAAAACAACCAAAACAACTGCACTTGGAGTGGAGGTCTTAAGTTTATCCAGCCAAACTGGACCCAGTGGGATAAAACCAAGATCCCCAAATGTGAGCCATGAGAAGAAGCTACAAGCGAGTGCAAAAGCATTTCCCAATAACATGCAAAAAACTGCCTCAGCATCTCATATCATGGGCTCCACAGACTCCCCACAAAAGACGCTTCAAAAAACATCATCTGCTTCCCAGATTTCCTCAACCGACTCTCCCAAGAGTCTCAACCGGACTCTCTCGCACATTCCTAGAGCTACGTCCAGCCCCAAACTTAAACCGCCCTATCCTGCGTCTCTCAAAGTGGACAAAACCGAGCGGAATAGAAGAGTCACGAGCAAAGAGGGACTGCTGTCGACTTCTTCTCCAAAAGATAAAATGATTGACACATTGGTGGAGAGCAACCTGCAACTGGGGACGAAAGCAGCAATGGGGGAGAGCCCTCAGGGACGAAAGGAGCAAGAGATAAAGAGCGGGAACGAGAGAGAAGCAGAGATGCTAAGAGACGAAATAAAAGACGCTGTCCTTCTGGGACACAGTCTTGGAGGAAGTGACGTCATCTCGAACTTGAAAGGTTGCAAAGAAATGTCCTCTCTGTCATTGTATTGTGCCGAAAAGCTGAAAGAGCCAGAAGACAAGACTGACCCATATGTCACGACCCAAGAGAGACACGCAGGAAAGAGTCAGATACTCTGTGAAAAGAAGGGAAGGGAGGAAGCAGAGAGCGAGGAGAGGAGGAACACAGGAGAGAGAAAGGGGGAAGCTGAGGTTAAGAATGTCAAAATGGCGACTGAGGTCAAGAAGGATACTGTAATGAATAAAAAAAAGAATAAGATTCCGACACCCAAGAACTTGAAGGATGCAGTGACAATGACAGTTGAAGGTCTCCCAGTGACCGAGATGAAGGATGCAGCACTGCAGGCGGATCTGAAACTGGTGTACGTTGATGTCGAGGTCCAGGCGGTTGTGGAGGTCTGCAGCAGATCCACAGTCACAAGCCCAGTCCACAACGTTCAACCTTGTCAGTTGAACCATGAGATTGACCTCAACTCTAAAGCTGGCCTGCACAATGGGCTCAACCTTGACAGCAACTCGGACTCTGATTGGTTGCCGACTGTAGCCTTACCGGACCCCAAACCAACAGGAGCCAAGCCTAGATTTCTAGGTCCACCCCCTTACAAGTCTCCCAATAGCCAGAAACCACTTCAACACATCTGTCAAATAGAGATTGAGCTTCGTAGCCAGTTTCCGCAACCTCTCGGTTCGGTCCCCCCCCAAGTAACCATCAGTGAATTTGACTCAACTTGTCAAGTGTTGCCCGAGGTGGCGGAGAAGACCTCTGGGGACTCCTTGAAGCCACTCAACTCTGGGGGAACAGCAGGGGTGGAAGGAGAAAAGGAGGAGAGCGGTGCAACTCAGGAGATCGTCTGGGATGAGCAGGGAATGACGTGGGAAGTCTATGGAGCGTCGCTGGATATGGAGTCCCTGGGATTTGCCATCCAGAACCACCTGCAGTGTAAGATCCGTGAACATGAGCGGCGTATCGGCACGCTCCGGAAGTCTATATGCCTCTCCGAACAATCGCCCAGAAAGGCCAGGACAGGAAAGAAGAAGAGGAACGTCTTTAGGTCGCTGTTTGCTGGATCTAAGTGCTGCTCAAAACCACAACCCAAAGAGGAAGCAGAAAAGTGACTCATTGTTATGTAAATGTATTTTGTAGATGTGCTACACTGGAGAATGTATAGTAAAAATGTCTAAAAATATGTAGCCTACTGTTGCTTCATGGAAGTGTTAGACCAGGAAAACTTCCAGGCAGGTGTGTTGAGGCAAGTTGGAGCTAAACTCTGCAGGACACCGGCCCTCCAGGACCAAGTTTGGTTACCCCTATTTAAGACCATGTCCAGAATTTGAAGGTTCTGAAATGATGTCTTGCCCATGGCCTTGTCCCAAATGGCGAGCTTGATGTGAACTTACAGTCTCATGGCCTACGCTTGTTCTTGACTATGAAGTGCGTGAGACTAGAGCAGGGATCCTCAAATCTGGCCCATGAGATCCACTTTCCTGCAGAGTTTAGCTCTAACCCTAATCAAACACACCTGAGCATGCTAATCAATGTCTTCAGGATCATTAGAAAATCACAGGTAGGTGAGTTTGATCAGGCTTGGAGCTAAACTCTTCAGCGCATTGGCCCTCCAGGGCAGGATTTGAGGAATCCTGGACTAGAGTGTCCAATGTAGAGAGGTGCCACGTTTGGTCATACTGGTACAGACTACTACCCAACTATCAACCTTTCAGGTTTTGGAAGTCTGGAAGGTTCTTGCATATCTCTTACAGGGGTAGTTCACTCAAAAATGAACATTCTATCATCATTTACTTATGTTGTTCCAATCCTTGTGTGACTTTTTTTCTTTTATAAACCCCTAAAGAAGAATGTTTTGAAGAACATTGGGTACCAAAAAACTTTGGACCCCATTGACTTCTTCTGCATGCTCAAAATGACCCTGAGAAAAGAATCTAATAGAATTTTGGACGTATATGATCGCATTGAAGGGTGAACTATCCCTTTAAGACTCATTTCTTGTAACTTGTAGACTTTATTTTGGATTAGCATGTTCACACTGTTGAAATGCAGTGGAAATTGCAGTTGTTTCCCAACATTTAAAAGTCCAACATCCAACTTTTTGAAATGTTGGTATTCGTTGAGGCCATGTGAACTAGCTTAGTTAATGCATTCACTTAAACATTAATCGACAAGTGAATTGTTCACTATTATGTAACTATTGAAAGTTCAATGACATTTTTTCATTTTTGTACAGGCAAAAATTGTCTACTGTCTTCACTCTTAGTATTAACTTGTGTAAAACTGAATGTCACTCTATTTAGGTTAACATTTCAAAAATGAAGTTTTGTATCACTTTTCTTTAAAAAAGAAACTTGTTTGACAACAGTTTCTGTATTACACTGTTTTTAGGAACCTTGTAGGTTTTGTCAGAACAGCTAATGACTTTCTAAATGTGCGCACTGGTCATGTTCAGTCACTGTGGTCACTCACTTGCACACCTGAGAAACTTCAAGCACTGGTAGTTGTTGTTAATGCTGGTAGATGTTAATCCTATTGGTTGCTTTATCACTGCAAAAATACTGTCCGTGCGAGCGTCCTTTAGAGGTACATAATGCTGGGCTGATAATCACTGTAGAGCACTTTTAATGGATTAAAATAATGTTTGTGATGTTCTACATGATGTGATTTTTGAACTTTTTTCAAGTTGAATTGTTAAAAATCCTTGTGCATGAGCCTGGTTTTTGTTTTCCGATGTGGGTCTTTGTGTTTTGTGAGCGCTCTAAGTGATGTCTGCTGAATATTTTATCCTTTCCGCGTGAGGGAGCAAGATGTTGATATTGAGTTTACAGAAGCAAGCTTGGACTAAATTTAGGTATCTTTGTTCTAAATGATGTCTGAATTGAGTCCTGCTGTAAATTTTTTACTCAGGAGCAGTGGTGCATCACATACAGCTACCATGTCCTGTGTTTGGTTGACATTATGGACCCTACGGAGCATCTGCCCTACATACTACAGTGAGATGAACTGTGCAGCAAATGTTGGTGTGATGGCTCTCTCTCCCATACCTCTGTTTTGCTCTCTTTACAGTGTTTGTGTGGCGGCACTGTTCCTCAAGCATTCTGGTGAGTGTTTGTTCAAAACCTCCAGCACTATTCGGTATAAGTAAACATGAAACATCTGAAATTCAGCAATGTATAAATTGAAGAGAGTTCACCCAAATGAAAATTTGCTGAATAAATTGACTCACGTCATCCAAGATGTAGATAAGTTTGTTCCCTCATCAGATTTGGAGAAATGTAGCATTGCATCACTTGCTCAACAATGGATCCTCTGCAGTGAATGGGTGCCGTCAGAATGAGAGTCCGAACAGCTGATAAAAACATCACAATAATCCACAAGTAATCCACACCACTCCTGTCCCATCAGTTAACATCTTGTAGAGCCAAAAGCTGCGTGTTTGTAAGGAACAAATCCATGAAGATGTTTTAACTTCAAACCATTACTACTACTCATAAAATATGAGTCCATAATCCATAAGAACACGTCCTCCAGTTAAAAAGTCCATGTTGTCACATCAAAATCCATCCACATATTTGTTTAGAGCTGTTTTGGACTGTTTTTGGTTGTAAACGTTGCTTGGTCTGTGCAGATTTATCTCGTGATTCAGACGAGACAACTTTTTACTGGAGAAAGCAGTATTATGGATAGACATTTGAAGTTAAAATGTCTTAATAATGGATTTGTTTCTTGCAAACACGCAGCTTTTCACCTCAAAAAATGTTAACTGTTGGACAGGAGTGGTGCGGATTACTTGTGGATTATTGTGATGCTTTTATCAGCTGTTTGGAGACTCATTCTAACGGCACCCATTCACTGCAGAGCATCCATTGGCCTGTTCATTTTCATTCTTGATTCTACAGAAAACAAGATGTGTTGCCACAAGTCTGATTCCAAGATGTGCTACAGTAAGTGCAGCATTTCATGTACTGCGCACAGCTTAAAACATAAGCTTACCTTAACATTTATTTGCTACCAAGCAAGTGCTGCTGTTTGCTTAAGAAAACGTGAATCTCGTTGCAATTCATGTTATGGTCTCCTCAGGAATAAGTTATTTATAGTGTATTAAAACGTTTGTGTTTTGAGTACTTGCTGATCTTTTATTCAGGACTTCTGCTGTGTTTACGGCAGAAACATGCTGTGATCCATCTGTGTGTGTATGAGTGAGAAAGAGGCCAAGCGCACACACACTGGTAGTGTTAATGTCTCTAATAGGCTACACGTTAGGCGCCAAAAAAAAAGAAGAAGCTTGAGCTAAAGGCTAAACCCTCACACACCCCCTCGTCTGATTGGACGAGCGGAGGGCAAAGACGGCCTGTGATTGGATACTGTTGTGTATTGGAATGTGAATAACCTTCTGTGTATGCTACAGAAATTTAACAAGCGCATAGAATGGTGTTTTCGGAAGGGCGGGGCTTAGCAGCTCGGACGCTGTCTCTGATTGGTCAGGTAGGATGAATCTAAAGAATAATTTCTTAACTTTTCATTCTCCACTCCTTAATTCCCATTCAGCGTTTGTCAAAGTGTCTCTCAGCCATTATTCCGGTTTTAATTATTATCCACACCTGCTCCTGAAGCAGCGCTTGGCACCTGATAGGTGTTACTTTTCTCAGCGCTGCTCAGTATTGACCAATCACAGCCGTTTGCGTTTATCTGATTAGAATGACTCCAATATCATTTTGTAAACATTGCCGCGGCATGTTTGCATTATTACCTCAGGTTCGAAGTCTTTGACTTTGAATTGTTTATAGATTTTAGTGTACTAATGTCTTCACTGACATAAAATATCCCGAGGTTTAACTGCGACTCGAAGGAGTTTTCGGCTTTTGAGCCGCCAAGCGCCCCCTGGAGCAGGACTAGTTTATCTGTCACCTGAACAATTTAACTAGTAGCCTCGATGTGTTGACACACCTTAACTTTACTGTCACTCCAGCTGGACAGGAGACCGAGTCGGACACTGACAACTTTGCCAACTAACTGATAAACCTGCTTATTTGCAGCAGGTAAGTTACTGTAAATTGTTTACATGTGATTTTGCGTTTATAATAAGCGGTGACATTCAGCGATTTTTGACGCATCAGGTGAAAACTGTTTTGACGAATTATTAATACTTAAAAAAAACAGCGTTATATTATTATTGGAGGGACCTTAACCACAATTATTTATTAGACTGCCAATCTGTTTACGTAAAACACTTAAAATATACATATATAAAATATACAATTTATTTATCCATGTTGTTTGCACATTTTGATGGGTTTTTTTGTAATTATTTTACTGTTTTCACATAATAAAGTTAAATTAAGGTTTACAAAAGAGTACAAGTGCGGCAGAAGTAAAAAAAATTAAATGCATAACTTGAAATAAAAAGTAACAAAGGTAAAAAAGTAACGTAAAATAACAAATACATAAATGAATACCAAAAACAACAACAAAAAAACTAAAATAAATAAATAAACTGCTGTGTGTAATTTAAATTGTGTGTGCATTATGCAACATTAACATTCATTGCAGAACGTGTTGTTATGACGCAACATCAATGTCAGAGTCAATGTCACATGGTCCAGTGATGTCACTTTTAAGGTCTTGTGCTGGAATGTGTTTGTTTGGACATGAAACACACGTCCCACAAAGGTCAGCAGTGAAGCACAGCGCATGCATGTGAACTTGGCCTGAAGAGGTCACTAGGGGTCATTCAGATCAACATGCACATACTGACTATAAATGCACAAATTAATGTTTAGTTACCATATGTGACCCTGCACCACAAAACCAGTCATAAGCTTTATAAATCACATGAAAGCTGAATAAATAAGCTTTCCATTGATGTATGGTTTGTTAGGATAGGACAATATTTGGCTGAGATGCAACTATTTGAAAATCTGGAATCTGAGGGTGCAAAAAATCTAAATATTGAGAAAATCATCTTTAAAGTTGTCCAAATGAAGTCGTTAGCAATGCATATTGCAAATCAAAAATTAAGTTTTGATATATTTACGGTAGGAAATTTACAAAATATCTTCATGGAACATGATCTTTACTTAATATCCTAATGATTTTTGGCATAAAAGAAAAATCAATAATTTTGACCCATACAATGTTTTTTTGGC